TTTTTTTGAGAAAGTTCATTTTTTTTTTTATATATATATATATATATATATATATATATATATATATATATATATATATATATAAATTCTGATAGACTTTATAATAAAAGCACCCAACCCAAAGTGAGTCACTTTTTCTGCAAGTCTGCTTGAGGAAACTCAACACCCAGGAAGGTTCAAGTGCTTCCTGGGTTCCTCCGATCAAATGCAGTGAATTATTCATGAGGCGCAGACGGCGAAGCCTCATGGCTTCTTCTGCTCCTCCTGATCCGTCTTTTGCTGTCATAACGCTGATAGTGAGCTTAGAGCGTAGCTGACCTGAAGGTCCTGGAGATAAATCGTGGCTAAACCCATCGCAATAAATCATTTAGTCACAGTAAATTCAAATAACCTCAATAATTTCCATTTGCATGATTAATTGTTTTTCTTTTTTCTCTATAAACTGGATCATAAAAATCTTTGGACTCAACAATTTTTTAAGGACAGTTTTGTTCACAGAAACTCCATAATTCATTTTATTTGTTGTTTCTGTTGTTTTGCTTATTTATTTTGGATATTTAAAATGTCTTCCAGTCCCAGAGTTAAGTCTTCATTAAAATTTTAAGTTTACTCAGAATGTGTTCTTGCATTATTACCATTATATTACTTTTAAATTGTATAAATTATCTTTTAAGACAATAACTTTAAAAATAGATCATGTTTGTGTTGTGTCTCTGTACCAACTGGCCAATTAGCAGCTGCGACTTCACTTCCATGCAGCTCTGAATTTATTACATTATTATAGAAATGGATCAGAACCTGCATGTTTAAGATGCTGGCCTGGTTGAAAAATCTCCAATTTAGATGATATTTTCACGATTTTTTATTACATCACAGTGTTTGCTGCAGATCTACTAACTCAGGTAATGCACGTCCAGATAATCAAATCTGCCATTTTTATTCCTAATCCAAGGTCAGGGTGTCAAAGCTACGAGTGGAAAAGTTGAAATGTTTGGTTCTTTAAGGCTTTTTCCTGGGGAAACATGTATAAAACTTACATCAATATTAAGGGATTATTGACTTAAAACAATGAAAAGTTATTTGTAAGCAGTTTTGTCTAATTTTAAGTCTACTAAGTTATTTGCACTACAAACTAGATAAAAGTACTTGAGATGTTTTAGTTTTTGCAGTGTACAAACACAGATAATACATTTTATTTAAAGTTGATATCAAACTTCTGACATTTAGGTGTTTTTGTTTGTTTTCCTTTTATTTGTTTTATTCATACTTAACACAGAATTTGGATAAAGTTTGTAGATGTCCACAAAAGACTTTACATAAAACAGATTAACATGACAAACAGTAACAATAAAAAAGTGCTAAACTTTATAATAAATCAAATCAAAATCTGTTTGAGGTTGAGTTGAGGAATCTGCAATGCAAAAGGGAATCAGAAACCGAAGTGTTAATCGATACCGATTTGGTATCGATATCAATATTTTGTGTCAGTGTGCCCAGCTCCAGTCCAAACAGCCAGATTCCTGCTTCAGGTCTTCATTCTACACGAATTAGCAAATTATTATAAAACTGATAATTTCAATCAGTTTCCAGGCGAAATTAATAAGCTAATATCAGCTTTGATAAGTATAGATTCACCTGCCTACACCTGTCAAACTGACCTGCCTGCTGTGAGTCGCCACGCCAACATCTAACGCGTATCTTTTTGTGTCGTCTTAAAAAGAGTGAGAATGCCCAGCAGCTCCTGCAGACAACCAGCTAAAGCCTGCAAACCGTCGCCGCCGCTGCCACAGAGGATCATGGGAGATGTGTGACTTCAGCAAACAGCTGTCGGGTAAAATTAGCAGACTGCGTGAAAATCCTTGGTGTTTGCACTGAAGACGCTTTCCTCCATCACATCTCAAAAGTTCAGCTCCCTGCAGGGATTTGGTTCGCTTTGATCACTGCAGACTGTGAGGGACGCATCAGAGCCGCCATGTTTACGCTGAGCGTTTGGTCTTTGCTCCACAACATCAGCTGCAGATTTACATCAGCAGGAAGAGTCCAAAAATCCTCAACGCGGAAATATTTAGAGCAACTTAACCTTTTGTTTACCTGTGTTTTTCCAGTAGAAATATACGACAGTGTTTTGGGGCTGTTGTAGATAAAAAAAAGGAGTAAATTTCTGCTAAAAAAAAAAATCTCTGAAATTTTTGAGTTTAAAAAGTTTAAAATTTGTCAGAAAAACACTCGGAAATGTTTCACTTAATCTCAGAAATTTTCTAGTAAAAAGCATGGACATTTCTTTTTTATATATAAAGATTTATCTATTTCTTTTCTTTATGCACCATTATTACAGTGCATAATAAGCGTCTACACTTTGGTACCTTGTACAGAAAGAAAAAAGTAAAAAATGCTTAAAAGTTTGTACGTTGATCACAGCATAGAAGGATCATTTAAACAGAGAAAAGGTCAGAAAAAAACAGCAAATAAAACTAAATAAAAAAAAAACAGCCACACAAACCAAAAGGTCAACCGTTTTTCCCCAAATGTTTCACTTCTTCTGCATTTGTATTCCACATTAACTTTAACGTTAAATTTCTGAGTTTGTGTTTCAAAAATTTACAATTAACAATTAATTATTACCAAAATCGCTGGTGTTTCTGGTCCTCCTGTACTGCAAAAACCCAAAATTTACCAAGTATTTTTTGTCTAATCAAGTGCAAATATTTTACTGCACTTAAAATAAGACAAAACTAACTTAGAAGTAACTTTTCAGCAAGATATAGGAGTTTGCTTTAAGTAAATAATTCCTTAATAATAATGAAAAAGTTCTAGTTTTAATGGCAGATTATTTTACTTATAACATGAGAAAAATGTCTTGCTGCCAGCAGAAGTTAGTTTTTTCTTATTTTAAGTGTATTAAGATATTTGCACTAGAAACTGGACTGAAAATACTTGGTAACATTTTGTGCTTTTTCAGTGTAATAATTTCCATATCAAATGTATTATTTCTAATTTAAATCACTCAATCTTAATTTTTGTTTTCAGGTCAGTATAAATATGAAAAAAAATCTTTATTCCTTACCGCATTACGTAAAACCTCTGACATTTGCAAAGTATCGTTACGCACACATTCTCCTGGTTACGGATTACTGCAGCAAAGATTAAAATTTGGCATGTTTGTAGTAAAAGCAGCGGATGGATCTGAGAACCGTCACATGCAGAGTCCAAAGGTTAATTAAGACGTCATTCCAGCTTAACGGCTGCTGGACGGAGAATCAGACACTAAATATGGAAATGTTATTGACTGTGGTTTGTCAGGTTTTCTCCACTAGAGGGAGACTGAGCCCTTCCTCCTGAGGGCGTGAGTCGGCGTCTGCACACCTGTCCTCCATCTACTCATTTGGAGGCATATAAATGGAGGAGGATGCTGACATTTCTCTGCCAGAGTGTTAGCCAGTAACGGTACCGGCTTACCTTGAGCTACTTCTACCTGGATTTGTTCCCAGATTCTGACCCTTCTTGTCTCCGTGTTCCCAGCTACCCTGGTCTGGAGCTATCAGGTCATCAATCAACCCTCGAGACGGATCCCTCACCGCCTTGAGTCTTACCTGTCCGTCCTCTGCCGCCGCCTCTGATCTCAACCCTCAACCCGCTGACCAGCCTCTAGACCCTCAAGGTCCTCTCCCAGTCCAACACTCCCCCTGAACAGGTATATCTCCAACCTCCGCCAAACAGCAAATTTCCTGGGTCCTGACTAATCATCTCTGTCCTCCCCTAGTTGCCCTGAGATCTGCCAGATGAACCAAGGATCCTAATTCTCATTGTCTGAATTCACTGTAAATAAATCACACTATTGTATTTCCTGTCTCTGGAGTGTTTCTGCATGTGGGTTAGAAAACTCGACACCAACATGACGGATATGATGAAAACTCTCACAACAAAACATCAGATCAGATGAGGCGTTTTAGACCTTTGACTCCGGATAAAAGTTGTTTTAACCTGTAAATATGTTCCTCTTTGAAATGCAGAATCCTGCAAGTTATTTTAGTAAAAAAAAGAATAAAACACACTTGTTTCCGGTACTTCCTGTCCTTGTTCTGGATTTGGCCTCATTCAATATTCGTTAACAGAGTTGGGTTGTAACTAGTTGCATTTACTTAAGTGACTTTTTTGGAAAATGTATTTATTTTTACTTCGCTGTAGTTTTTTGTTTTACTTGAATAATTTTATTTTGAGGTATTTTTGCTCTTACTTGAGTAAAATTTCTGGATTTTCTTCCCTCTGAATGAAAAACAAACATGTTTTAACCAAAAATCCACCAGACACACCTGCAGTTTTTATTAAAGTTGTTTTACTGAAAACTTATTTTGCCTGATTTTATTTTTATAAACTGTTATTTTTGTTCTTAAAATACCAACATTTCCATTTAACTTTATGATCCGTCTGATGATGTAATTTGTAAATATTAAATGATTGATAATCTGATCAGTACTTGAGTAGACTTTTTTTCACCAAATACTTTTTTACTCTTACTCGAGTTATTTTTTGGACGGCTAATTTTTACCTGTAATTCAGTAAAGATATGTTGAAGTAGTGCTGCTCTTACTTGAGTATAATTTTGGGTAAGCTACCTAAAATCTGTCTGCTACATACGTAAACATGTTAAGTTTTACTTGCTTGTTTAAATTTAGGAGTCACATTTTCTTTCCAGTAATTTGAATCAGATAAATGTTGAGATCTGTAGCTCGGCTGGAAACAACAGACTTATACAACCTAATCGATGGTAGAAACTGATGTTAGCAACTCTGCAGCCCATTCCAGGCTCTGCTTCACACTCTGCTCACCTGTAATGATGTTGTCAAGAAGAGTGGTGGGCATGCAGAAAATCCCCACCAGCAGGTCGCTCACAGCGAGGTTCAGGATGAACAGATTTGTCACAGTCCGCATGTTTCTGCTCCTCAGCACGATGAAGCACACCACTCCGTTTCCCACCATGCACACCAGAAAGATCAGCAGGTAGGACACGATGAAGATGGCGGCGGTGGACGGCTGGTGCAGGTAGTATCCAACATACGTGATGTTCCTCCTGGGAGTGACGAACTCCACCGTGGAGTTATAAAACGTCCAGTTGTCGTACAGTTGAGTGGAGTTGCTCTCTAGTCCTTCGTTCATTTTAAACCTGAAAAATTTCACAATTTTGAGTCAGTTTCTGTTAAAGGTGAGTTTTTATGCTTCCCTAAACTGGAATGGGTTACACAAAACATTTTACGCACAAAATCGTTCTCAATGATGAGATTTTGGTCTGCTCACGTCTGGCGCTCCTTTCAGAATGAGATCTTTGAGGGCATGTGTGTCAAACTCGGGGCCCGGGGGCCAAATCTGGCCCGCTGTAACTTTTTATGTGGCCCTCTAGACTCCAAATTACATGGATAAGTCCGTCCAGTTCTTCACAAATCCACAAAATTCACACAAAATCCCCACATTTTTTTCTGATTTTAAGTTATAGTCTGTTATTTAAAAAAAATCATGATGTTAACTTCATTACTTTTTTTAGCACAAATATTAGCACAATATTTGTACTAATATATTAGCACAAATATTGTAAAAAATTCTTTCAAAATATTTCTAAATTGTCACCACAAGATCTGTGATTGTGACTTTAAAAAAATCTCAAAACAATCCTGGATGGACTGATCAGTGTGAAAAGATGTTTAATATTTCATTTTCAGAAACACACTGCCGCTTTAAACCCACATAAGCTGCTGCTGGCCACTCCCCCAAGCCAGTGTTTACATTCACACCTAGGGCTGTCACAATAACACATTTTTCTGGACAGTAAATTGTCCCAAAATCTATTGCAATAAACGACAATGTTGTTGTTTTGAGACCATTTTCAGGTAATTTAATGGTAATGACATAATGCAAGAACACATTATCAACGATCAATAAATTTTAAATTCTAATGAACATTTAAGACTGGAAGTGGAAGACATTTTAAATATTCAAGATAAATAAAACAACAAATAAAATGAAATATGAAGACTTCAAAAAAAGAGCTAGTTGAGACTTTAGTTATCCAGCTCTTGGTAGAAAGAGAAAAATGATAAATTTGTCTTGGATTAATTGATATATTGCTTATTGCAACAGGCCTACTCACATGTGGAAATGACTGAAAACAGATCCCCGGTTATACAACCTTAATGCTTTGAAAAGCAGAAGTAGAGCCTTCTGCACAACCAACAAAAAAAACAGCAAGGGGCTTCTGGATGGTCAACAACTAATCATTTGTCTTTTCCAGCAGCCATTGTACAGCGGTAAAACCAGATCACCAAACAAGCTGAAGCTTTGATTGCTAAGTAACTTCCAGACACCAAAAATCATAAAGCTATTGCCAAAGAACAGTTGGGTGTTTTATATTTATTTTTGTTGTTGTTGCTGCTGTTAGGAGCAGCTGAGACCCAAATGGAAGTACAAAAACCTGCAAAATATGAATTTTGTATAATAATCCCCCTTTATAGAAAGGGAACACACCAAATATAATTTGAAACTGAGCAGAGTGATTCACTTTAATTTTGTTATAGCAGCTGTTTGTTTTTCATTTAGAATTTGCTTTGCTGTCTATAATCTAGAAAGATTTGGTGCGATTCTCTCCCAGTTTGACCAGAACAGGGAATCAAATGGAAGCATCACATTGGATGTCAAATAAACCTTCAGCTACATTAACACCACGTATTTCATCTGAAGTCAAACCGTCGACGCAGTCATGTAGTTTGTTTTTGCACACAGCTTTCATACAACGGTGCAGACAGAAAAACGCGTTTCTGCAGGCAGCCGCCTCAGTGAACAGTGGAGTTAGTAACTCCGTTTGACTAATTATCATTACAGATATTTAGTGAAGAACTGTACAAATGCACACAATTCCTCACTGCATCAGATGAACTTTCCTCAAAAGTATTCATGGTTTCCTTTGGCTACAGAGCTGTTGGTTGTCCAGAGTTCTGCACCAAACATTTGAATAAAAAATTGAGTGGAAGGAAGACATGTTGTAGGAAAAGACGCACCAGTTATTGTCAAGCAGTGAAAATACCTTAGGACACTTGAAGTAAGAAAAAATAACTTACAAATGACTTTTCGTGCATAGTGCGTGCGTGTGTGTGTTTGTTTGTAATATTTTTTGGGGACGATTTTCCTGACACACACTACGTGGTGGGGACCAATTGCTCCTCGTGGGGACTGGAGCCTGGTTCCCACAAGGGGAAACCCTGTTTTTGGGTCAGGGGTCAGAGTTAGGGCTAAGGTATGAATTGAGTTTTGGTTAGGGTTAGGGTTAGGTATGTGCTGGTTAGGGTTAGGAAAAGGGTAAAGGTCAGGTTTAGGCTGTAGAAATGAATGGAAGTCAATGGAAAGTCCCCACAAAGATAGCAACACAAACATGTATGCCCGTGTGTGTGCGTGTTTTCAAATCAGAGCAGGTTTCTGAGCCTTCTGCCACTGAAATGGATGAGTTACATAAATGGATTACCAGCTGGAGAAAACATTTTAAAGATGGACCCAGCTCTGATGTTTGACACGTTTCTCATCTCATTGTGAGATGTTCTACATTTGTGGAACAAGTAGACACAAGTAAATTACTTTTCTCCATCATTTCGGCACCAGAAATGTAGAAACAACAAAACTGTTCTCTTTTATACAAGCAGCCATCAAAACAACTCATTTTCCTGTTATCTTAAGCAGCTGCAAGCCTCAGATTTAGTTATTAATGTGTGATAAGTGCTATTATCTGATATCAGATCCAACATTTTCTTTTTGGGGAAAATCAGCATCATATTTCACTGCATGTTGCTTTTAACTGGTTTGGTTTCATCAAAGTTCTTATCTTCACTCTCTCAGCTTCGGTGTGTTTTACTTATTTTGGGGAATATCAGTCATATATTAGCGCAACATAAGCCTGTTAAGACTGAACTGGTTCATTTCTGTCCAACAGGCTCTGGAGTTACGACACCTAGTGGCTGCCTGTTGAAACAGCAACAAAAATATTGCTTTTCTTCTTTTTCTTGATGTTTTTCTTCTGCAGCCTGTTTGCATTAATCTATATCCTCTATAAACAATAATAATGACATTTTTACAGCTCCAGACACATTTATTGGTCCCACTGGTAGAAGGCATTAGGAAAAATCCATTTTTATTGTAGCAGTATGATCTCACACTGTAAAATGTCTAAATATCCATCCATCTATCACTTGAGCAGATTTATGCTGCAGGAAATAAATGCAACATTAAGACATTATTTTTTTTTTTAAACTTCATTAGTACCCTTATAGATCCCTGTAAAGAGGAATTTTTTTTTTCATTTAGTCTTCACATCTAAAGCTGATTTCAAATGTCTAAGAACTTTTAATTAGTTAATTAATTAGTTAATTCTTAAATTTCTGTTTATATATTCTTAAATTGTTAATATATTTATCTTAGTCACTACCTGTGGTTCAATTACAAATTAGTGCAAAACTTGGTCAATATTTTTGCTAATGTTGAAAAAACACAATTTTACAATTGCAGTGTTTCCATTATAAGAAACACATTTAAAATCACACACGAATAAGTTTATGTGATAAATTGTTAAAAAAAATTATCACATCCTCCAACCACTTCCTGTTGTCTTCTTTGTGGTTTCCACCAGTGGCAACATCTGCTTGTTGATTATGTGACTTTTGTGATGCAAACAATTTGTTTATTTTGCAGTTTTGTGAAATAAACTAATTTCAATGCAACCAAAAAATAAATAAAATAAAACTCATCTTGTCGCAAAACTGTTTTTATCAAAAAAAAATAATAAAATAAAAAATTAACTGCTGTGTTTCCATTAAGCAAATTTATTTTTCAAATGTCACATTGTACAATTATATGGAAACGCAGCTACTGGCTGTTAGGTTGGGTAAAAGGTCAAACTGAGTCAGATCCAAAGTTCACCGTCGTCTGCAGATCCCATCCTGTTCAGTAGTAACACAAATATCAACATATGGAGTTTAATAAACTCAGCTTGAATTGTAACTGGAATCACAGGCTTTGGTCCTATGAGGCTAATGTCGTTTTCACATCTCATAGTCTGGTAAACTTGGTTTGATGAGGAACCAAAATTACAACATTTGTTATATTTTCAGCTGCTGCGGTTCGTTTTCACACTGCTCTGTGTCAAACAAACCAAAAAAAGCAAAACCTGTTCCCCTCCTCACCTGTGGGGGCGCTGCACCAAGAACCAGAGAAGGAAACAAAACAGAAACATTTAAAGAAGACACTGAGTATATATAACTTCTTTCTTCACAAAATGTAAATAATAATGGATGTTAGCATTTGTAGGATTTCTCTTTTGCCTTTGGTAAAAACAAAAAACAAAGCAAAAAATAAAAACCACAAGCCATTGCTCCCGCTAGCACGAGGCTAACACGTTTGTTTTGGTTGTATTTACCCAGAATACCCTATGCTGTAGTCCACTTCTTGCTTTTGGAGCGGTCTCTGGTCCACTTTGTGTTCACATATGCATTCAAACCGCACCAGAGTTCACTTTCACCAAACAGACCAGAGTTTGGGTTTTAGTTCACATCTGAGCTCGATTTCACGTTCACACCTCCACAAATGAACCAGACTTTATAGACAAATTAACTGGATGGAGTTTAATTAAAGCGGATAAAATAGGGGTGTGTGAATGCAGCATAAGATCAAAATTTCTGGCAACAGTCAGAGTTGGTCTGATTATAAATATAAAAGTCAATACGAGGAGAACCACCTAATACCCTTTAGGCACAGTAAAGGATTGGTCATGCTGTGGGCCTGTTTCTCTTCTAACTGCCCTGGGGAACTTGTTAAACTATCTGGGGATAAGTTGGAGGGCTCTTCTCATGCTGGAAATCCTAGTTAAAGTCAGGAATTACACCCAAAAACCCTAAGAAAGTTGAGCAGGAAGTGGTGGTTGTGGAAGTGAAGTGTAAGAGTCTGAGAAAGAAAGTTTTTCCTGATAAGAACCTGGAATAAAATGGATCTTATTCCTTCATATTTTCTCTCTGCTGCACTAAAACCTCTCAAACTGATCTATAACCATATATTTCCTTTTTTTAATCTTACTTGAATTATACAACTTTTAGTTAAAAGATTATTTTAATGATAAATGTTGCACCGATATAAATTCCCTTTTGGGGACACAGTTCTGTTTAAAACATTATTAATGCCGACTTTTAATGACTAGAAAACCATCATGCTAACCAGAGCTGCTAAGATCAAGGTAATAAAATAAATTTATTTCTTCACAGCTCAATATTCTAAAACACAGCTGGGAGACTGAAATCATTTTTGTTCACTTTCTGTTTGCGTTTAACTGTAAATCTGAGCACCAGACGTCCATTTTACTTATTTTTTAAAATCTGAACAGAAACACAAAACGACTCCAGTTTCTGAACCCGATCATGCAAATAACGGCTGTAGAAAGCAGCTTTGCTCACATATTGAGACCTTGTGCTGCTGAATCGATAAGATCACTTGTTCACAATCAGATCAATCAGCAACAAGCAGCAGAGGTGAAGTGGAACCGAAAAGGACAGAGATAAACTCACAGCATCAGATAAAAACTATCTTTACTGTTATTTCAATTTGCAAAAAATATGCCACATTCTTCTTGTTGCTTGATCAATTATCCACAAATGGGCACCCAAAAGAAATATGAACAGCTGTCATCAACTGGAATCTCATTGTGAGCTCATTACATCACTGCAGGCTGGTTAACCTGCAGGAAAACCTCATGAAAGCATCCAGACTCAGGAGTGGCCGGAGGTAACAGGGCTTTATGGAACAGAGCAAATAGTGTTTAACAATAATAACATAATCAGGCTGAGTCCTTGTAATATGGATTTATCCCTTTACAATCACAGGACACCTTAAATATCCTCAAATTAAACAAAATATCAAACTTACTGTTTCTGAATTTGGCTGCATTGTTTCATATCTGCTGGATTTTGCTGTGAGTTGCTTTGGTTTGTCTTGTAATGAACTCGTTCACTGCTGAGTATTTCAGTCTAAGTTCTAAGGTTTGATTCATCTCCTCTAAAGGGCGTCCATGATCAGAACCACAGCAAAGAGACATTCTTGGTCAACTTTGATATGACTGAATTATGAGGAAATAATTTAAATGAAAGGGGGAAATGTTACAGTTTGGGGAACTAAACCAACATGCATAAGAGTAGAGACAATTTCAATCAATAAATATGATTTTGGAACAGAACCAAAATGTCTCCCTGTAATTAGGGTGACCCTTCATTAGTTAGGATTCGCCCTGAACTCAGGAGAAAACCGCATGTTGTGCCAATAGCCTCTGCGCCTTGATGCGCTCTCCTTTTCCCTCCATGGGAACTTTGTTCCTCTAATTGCGCTCCTGTAGCGAAGCGCACCGGGGACCCAGAGGGACCTGAGGGGTCCCGGCGCGCTTCACTGATCCCCGCAGCACAAAGAGGAGTCTGTCACCAAGTAATGACTGCGCACTGAGGCGTGGAAGGGAGATGAGAGCCGCTAATCTACTGACCTGAAACCCTCATCAAGATGTAAAGAAGTACATGCATTTATTTGTATGATCAAATATTTGTAAATCAGTTTTTACTCCTGAGATGACGTCTTACCTGCTTTGAGTCCAGTTAAGTTGACAACCAGAGATGCGCTTTGAGCAGCGATAAAAAGAGTCCAGATTCCTTTAAATCAGACATGGATTGAAGGACCAGCTTCACCGATGATCTCAGGAACGAAACAGCCGAGCTGCGCTCAGTCTCAGTCCGGCTTCCTGTGCGTCGCTGGCACGGGCAGCGCGCAGAGTGGGGGCTGCGCCGCGCCGCGCCGTCCGTGGCTGACGTCTGCAGCGGAGGGGAGGGATTAGTGGGGGGCTAGTGGTTGAATGATATGCCCCTCCTGATCTCTTCCAGCTGCTGCCTCGGAAATGTCAAGAGTCTGATATTAAAAAGTCAAAGCTGAAAGTGAGAGGAGGAGGCTGCGGTTCAAAGCTCTCCGTATTTACTCTGAAGCCTCCACTCAAAACGCCTCATTTTCTCTTAAGATATTAAATCACAAGTGTCCCATTTTACTGGGAGACATTCCTCAGAGAATCCAATGTGGTTCTAAAATTATCGATCAGTTTTCAACAAAACCATGGGATGGTTTAACAGCAAAATACTTTAAAATATACTGGAGAACATAATGAAGAACTGTATTGAGAATTATAAAAATAAGCTTAGCAAATGATTGGTCTTGCTATTCTTTCTTTAAAGAAACGTC